TTTTTTACGACAACTGTCTTGTTGACGGCGTCTTTTATTCGTTCCACTGGGGTTTAGCAGGTGTGTTTATAAAGAGACGAAAATTGTTTGGGGACTATCCCCCACGTTCAAGTTGAGATGGTATAACCCGAGAGGCAAAATGACGCTTGCTACTGTTGTTGCGAGTTGCCATTCGTTCTACTAAACCATGAGTCAAACGCCATCATGCCTTCTGTCGTTATTACACAAACAAAAATCTCTTTACTGTTCCTAGTGTTAGTGCCTCAATATGGCTAAGCTCGTGAAAGCAATACAACGAACTCAAACGCGTCTTCGTTCAATGTTGTCAACTAATATCCGGATTATGCAAATTTTCCTCAATTCTCCGGAGAAATTTTCATAAAAATTTGAAAAACCCGGAATTCCGGGAAAATCCGGAGGACTTTCATCTCTGATTAAAGCAGAGTGTTTCCAACTTTGAACAGCAAAAGAGCAGCCAATTTAAGTGTCTGGAGAGAAATTTTTCCACATAATGAGAAATACTACCCACACAGCTAAACAGGACTGAAAAATGGAATTGAATTACTTTTACATTGCGACCTATGTCAGGTGCATGGCAAAAAACTCAAAATAATACAAAATCTATTGCATTATCAAATATCGCCATAGTTCCAATGTACGGGGATGGAGTGGGGGAGAAAGGGAATTGATGCAACCAACATGACTGCAAATGACTCTGCAAGAGTTTCAAGTAATGATGAAGCATGAACAATGCTTAGCGATGTTTGCTCTGTGTATCGATGCTAACCTTAAATAAATACGCTTTAATCGGGCTCTAATAAGAACAACGGCAAGCAACATGAAAGGTAAAGAGTGGGAGGCAAATATTTGTACCCAAATAAAAGAAGGGTGTTCACTTTTTTTAAATTAGCCTCAAGCACTAGGCAACCACCATTTTAATCTTTTACCAGGCATTTTTGTACCTTGTATGTGAGAGCGGTTGATGCTTTCCTTAAACGCAACTATTTTCTGGTGAGTCTGCAGATCAGCGTCAGATAGTTGGGCAATTTTTTCTGTGAAGTTCTCCTTCACTCTGGAGGAGATCGTAAACAAGGCCTCTTGTTGCTGTGCCGTCACCTGCAGAAATAATGCGTTTTAGGAGTAACTTCACCAAAAAAACAGAGCCTGTGTGACAGTTTTACTCAGGCAAAGGTTCATTATCCAAACTTTGTCGAGCATCTGTTTAATTTAACTGTCTAGAATGAGCACTAATACCTCTGCTGTAGCTTGTTGCACAGTATCAACAAAGCACTCAATTTCTCGGTCCAGCTTGGCACATTCCAACATCAGGGCCTCCATCTTGCCGATGCCAGAGTTCTCTTCTCCATCTGCACACAGAACACCAAGATATTCTTCAGATCATTTCAAGCATGATTATACAACTTGTTTTAGTACAAAATTGAGTTATGGTTGCCTTTGGAGCGCCGGTTACCACATAAATGTTTATTTGTTAGTGGTGTAAGTGTGGTGGTTAAATATCTATGGTAGTCTTGTTTTGAACTTCATGGTTTGGTTCGTTTGTCGGTGCAGCAAGGGAATAAAATGCAAAACTGATTATATTTTGTGTAAACTGGAACACATTTAATGGCATGACCAGCTACAATATTTTTTAACTCATTCAATGCTCCCCTTTCCAGTTACAATGTATATTTGGCAGCAATTTTAAGAATGTGTAACAACTGCAAGGTGTCAATGCCATTTGAAGTGTGACCTTCTGGCAAAAGAATATACCGAGCCACAATGCAGATTGCGTGCGAGGCAGGAGCTTTTCTTGTTCCTTACCCAGAGGTGTCAAATCCAGGTCCAGAAGGTACAAACCCTGCCCCAGTCTGGCTTTAGCCACAGGTGATTCATATGACCTGTGTGGCCACCCTAATCATCTTGATGCATCTTTCACTCGTTTAACATTTCTTATGAGATATATATATATATCTATATATATATATCTATATATATACACACACATACATACCAGGCACTGTCACAATAGTTGTGGGTTCGAATCTCACCTCTGGCCTTCCTGGGTGATGTTATGGTGTGAGGTGGGATTTCTGAGGGTACTCTGGCTTCCTCCCACATTCCAAAACACATGTAAATTTATTTAGAGAATCTAGATTGACTATGGGTTTGAATGCATTTGTCTAGATCTGCCCTATGATTGGTCAGAAACCTGTCCAGGGCATACTTCCATCTCGTGCCCAAAGTCAGCAGGAATAAGTGCCAACTCAGACCACCCATGATCCTGATGAGGATAAACAATATAGAAAATGAACAGATGATGGCCACCGAGTTTTGAATGGAAGTCAAGGAACAATTGGGGCAAGCTTTTGTGGGCCACATAGAATAAGCGGTCCTCAGCTATAACACCAATGATTTATCATACTGTAATCAACGAAAGTACAACTACAAGTGTCACCAAAGTGGTGCCCGTGGGCACCAAGTAGCCCCCAAGAACCTCATGAGTAGCCCACGGACCCATTGTTAAAAAATAATCAATTAATTTCATCAGTAATGGGATAGATGCTGTGATTTCCGAGCACTGCAGTAGAAATAAGCATGTGAAAACGTAAAAACTAGAAATAGTATATTATATTGTTATTGATCTGCTTCTTACCTTGTTAAATCATGAACATGATCGGTGTTCTCACATAGATGAATATCATCAAAAATTAATAAGAACATAGTTAAAGGTAATTTGAGCTAATTTCTTAGTTAAGAAGTGTATCAAACCAGTGGCGGATGCTGGTCTGTCAAGGAGGGGAAGCTCAATTTTCGGGTTTATTTATATGTGAATTCTACTCTCCATTCCTTCTCAAAAAAATGAAAAGGATGCCTTCACCATAAGATTGGCGATTGGCTCATTTCGCTGTCAATCAAAAACAGATTCAGCCTCAGACAGATCATCCAATCATCATGCAGAAAAGCTGAGTGTCCGGGCCAGCCCATAAACGCCCACTGTCCATAGACTCCCAGAGACGCTGAGCGTCCGATGGGCGGGACAAAACCAGCATTTATCCAATGACTCGTCTCGTTTCAATGCATTGGGACTACTCTTGAGACGCCCAGCGTCTGCGCTGTAGACTCTCAGTGTCCACACAGTTTAAAGCACAGTGAAACTGCGGGAATGAATGAGAAGAGAGTCGCGTCGTAACCAGTAGTAAGAAGCTGAGATTCGGAACAGAAGTTGAGCGCCTTGTAGCGCATATTTAGTCAATGACATGTACACACAATTGTATGTACACTGAAGGGATTTTCATTCACAGTATAAGCTTTCATATTGCTGTATTGCGGTTTTTCATATAGTGACAAAATGCTTTTGTTTCAGTGCGGCCTTTCATGGTTATAGATGATTCGGGTGAAGTTTTGGAATGAGTGACTGCAAATAATGATGTTTTTCTGAGTGTAAATAAGAGAGTGTTTGCATTTGGGTGTGATTGAGGAAGAGGGGGTGCCATGGTGCCACGAGCAAGGGGGAACGCCGGCCGAACCCCTGGACTGGAGATCACAATCGGCACTGAAAAAGGCCCCCACAGCAGGACGGCCACTTCCAACAACAAAAGATGGCCAAATGTGAAAGACCATATCCACATCAAAGGAAGATTCACCATAGAAGGACAATTCACACCTAATCTGACAGATGCCGTTGATAACACCTGGACTGTCCTGCAGACCACTTGTCAATGCCTGAACACACACACACACACACACACAAAGAGAGTCACACCCTTTTTGGGGAATTGTATGAAAGGTGGATCAAGGGAAAGGCGTCTTGGTCACTCTGCCTCGCTACCCTCGCGGTTAGGAGAAGTTGATGACCCAGAGCTCTGTTTAGAATAATTGGCTTGATCTATGCTGTATTAGGTAGACTATTTGTTAGGGATTAAATACTTTTCTGTGTTACTAACTCGATAGATGTGTGCATGTGGTCATTCCTGAGCCCATCAAGAGCATCCCGGAACTCCACCAAGGTATTTGATTAGTGGTCAAGTAGTGTGGTGGAAATTCCGCCTTCAACACACATATATTTGATCACTTATTTTTTGACATTTTAGGGGAAGCTGAGCATCCCTTGCAGTCTTAGAGCAATCGCCTCTGTATCGAACTGGTTACCATTGTGATTAAACAGTACGCAAGTAGCAGCGTTGACGTTCAAAAAGGTTGGTGATCCCTTGGTCGAGTTGAAATTCTATTAAGCTTTTAGTGACTTTGTAGACAAGCCAAGGAAATACGAGCTGAGGTGGGGTACATATCATAAAACACCCCAAATGCTATTAAACATTGTAGTCCAACAGATCTCGTTTTCATATGCACTGCTGCTCGAAACAAGTGAATTAAACGATTAATGACATTTTAAAAGCTACATTAAATGAGTGTTAAAAATGGAGGCGACGGGACACAGATGAAGTTACTGCATGTTTGTTACCCTGGTCTTCTATCAGGTCCAAGGCCACGGAGGTGACGATGTCCATTCCAGTGGCGAGGTCGGCCTGACACGCCTTCAAGCTGGACACCGTGCTGTGCACAGCGCTCAGACTTTGATACATGTAAGCGACGCTCCGAGACACACTTCGAACACTGAAGTGACTGAACGCTCGGCAGCACGTTAGCGCAGCTCGCTGACGCTACATGAACACAACAAAGCTGCAATGTCAACTTTCGAAAGTGTGAACGCGTGACATTTGTTTTAGCAGTATGAACGTTTCCTTACAACAAAACCCCGCGGAAAAGCAAAACGTCAGGACAGGATTGTCTACTTCCGGGTCGCGTTTGGTGTTTTCAAAGTAAATACATATTGCATTAGGCATGTTCCCTCACTTTTAAACTGAAAGACTAACTAATGACCCGGAAGAGACGGATTTTTTTGGCCGTGGAAAGATTTTTTTAATTACGTTCGGAACATTGAAGACACAAACACTCACCGAGGATAAATACAAACTTGGTAACAATATGTAAACTAAAACAGCTATATAAAATAAACAAACCAATAAAAACAAGGATTCATATGTTTAAAAATGCATTTCCATTGCAAAAAACAGGGACCACACAAGAAGACACAGAAGCACAATTAAAGGATAAAATAGATATTTAGCAATGTCGTTAGTACTTTCCGGAATAGACAGATTTCGATCAAGTAATCCGCATTTGTGTTTGTTGTCGGTATGGATTTATGCTGCATTCGAGGAAGGTGGGAAGTTGGACTTTTTCGAACCCGATCAGAAAAAGTGCCTTGGAACGCCCCTTTGAAATTGGAGGTCCGAGTTACAAAGTCGGGGGGGGGGGGGGGGGAAGGACACCGACTTCACCGATGCGTTTCAAATTGACGTCAATAGATCATGGCGAAATGGAGACAGATCGTGGACTTATTCGGAAAATTCAATCTGATAACCTTGATGCCACATTTTCTTTACCTTTGTTGGACTACGTTATCGTGTTAAAGAGGGTTGAAAAGATGCTTTGGAAAGGACAGTACTGTTTCAAATAAAGGGTCACATTACACGCTACGGTGCTCAATGAATGGTACACCTTGGAGAAGTGCACGTAATGTTTGAGAGCACAGGTTAACGAGCCGACGAAGACTGCAGGATCGGGACAGCGTGGAGCATGTAATTTTTTTTTTTTTTTAATGAATCTTTATTCGAACAAGTCATAGTACATTTCTCAATAAATAGAAAACAAAATGAACATGTTATTAATACATATACATATTACAAACATTTAAACAAAAAAGAAGCCAGGGGATTTTAAACACAAATTTCAAATAAGGACCATATAGCCAGAGTCTTAACAGCTTTCTTGTTTTTAGAATCCATAATAGAACTCAGGTACTGCTTTATTTGTGGGGCACGTCATCGACTTGCACCTACTGTGTTGGATTGCGTCATAAAACATGGCGGCAACGGTTGTAGTCTTGGCATTTTCCTGCTTAAAATTAAATTTAAAGTACACTATATTATTATATAAATAAAAAACCCGGCTCATGGTGCCAGTCGATTGCAGTTTATAGCTTCCCTGTCGCATGACTTGCGGCCCCTGCACGATCTCAGGCGCATGCGCAAAGGGTCGCTAAGTACGAACTCCCTCTTGAGCCCAAAAAGTAACATATCCTTCCCACGCATGAAAACGGAGGTCTACTGCATGTGCAGAATGTGTTGTGATGAACAGAACAACAAACAATTTATCGAAATCAGCCATCTTCGTTGTTTACCTTTGTCTGGAATGGTTTGACATTGGAGCTGGGACAATCCGACTGGGAGAAATTTGATTTCCCACCTTACTCGAATGCAGAATTATGTATGAATTCACGATCCATTGGCTCCTCACGACTGAAGCCAGAGGCTGGCCATTTTACGTTGCCACTGTTATTTAGAACTTGTTACTTTTTCACTGAAAACACCGTGAACAATTTATTACTTCATCTACACCAGGATCACTTTTTGGAGTAATGAGAGCCTCTCAAAGAACAAGCTTCACTGTTTACAACGGCCATTCAGAGTATATTGTTTCAGTAATGTGAATTGTGACTGATAGAGTTTGGTTTGCATTTCACAGTGAATTTAGTCCTGATGTGATTTGCTTTCATTTCATCATTGATGGTTGTGACAGCATGATACAGACGCAACTTTGAGTAGATATACTTTAAAGAGAAAATGTAAAATCACATTGGTACAGATGAAATGTGCACATATAGCGCTTCTCCCAGACTTACTGGTACAACCATTTGCCATACACGGAATTTTCGCTGTAGAAGCAGAAAATAACGGGAAAACACCACAAAGAAATCAATGTATTCAAGTTTGGCAGGCTTAGCGAGTGGCAGTGTAAGATGGCCACTGGTGGCTTCGTTTCACCCAACGGCAAGTAAGCGGCATTGTCAGTCAGTTCATTCATATATAAATCCATGTTTGTCCGCCATGAAGGAGGTCGAGTCTGAAAACTAGCTTTAAATACCAGAGACATGTCACAGAGAAGTTCGATGATGAAGAAAATGGTAGTATCTAGACCAGAGGTCGGCAAACTGCAGCTCTTTCATCATTATGTTGTGGCTATGCATAGTTTGGGAAAATAAATGAGAAAAAATAAATGAGAAATGTCCAATGGAAGTGTATTTTATTTGTCTCACAAACTTGTATCACTTCTGTTATTTTATCTGACTGTATACTAGGTGGCAGTGTATTCTATAAAAATACGATTGAGATGAAATAGGAAGGGGCGGTAATGGCGACTAAAGTGAGTTATATGAACGACTGTTGTGCTATTAATAGCCTGACAAGAAAATACAGTGTTTGGCTAAACTCTGGCCTTGTTATTCTGCTTTTTTCATCAGACCTTGTGCAATTTCGGTGATCAGCCTTCGCATTCGCCTATTTCAGAGACGTTTGTGAGCACTTGATGCATCAGCAGGCAAATTGGACAGGCGGCATGCTTCAAAGTACTCTTTGTCTCCACTGAATTGCCAATTGTGCATTCTCAGCTCTGGGCGTGTTTGATTTCTCAACAGCTCTCCACAATCATCCTGTTTTGTCTTTTGATTAAAGAAACATGTTTATTTATTTGCCATGAACATTATTTTTATAATGGCCAGT